TGATGTAAACCTTTAATTTGAAGTGGTATCTTCTCACCACAAGTTGGTCAGATAGCAAAAAACAAGAAGTTAGCCTTGTAGTGAATTGCTGGTGATATAAAAGAAAGAACAGGCAAAATAAAAGGACAATAGTTGAGGATATGGCTTCCATTAAAATTTCATTTTCTTAAAAATCGCTTTCAACTAGGCACCTTAGGGTGAGGGTCAACATTTTATGTTACCAGAAGTAGAGAACCGATTGGGCAACAAGTGATCACATGTAGCTTGCTCAAGTTATATTCCCACAGGCTGTTCCTTTCTACTTTCTATCTCCACTGTCTATGATGGCCTTATGGTGAAACCTTAGTCTTATTTTGTTATTGACATTGCTTTTGCGAATGAATTGTTTTTGTTATTGTAATTGTTGCTGTTGTGGTGGTTGTTCTTGTTATCAGTATTGTTCTGGTTTTTGCTGATATGCAATATGTGATATAAAAAGGGTTCGTGGTATTAGTTTACTTTAAGGTACTTGGTCATGAGAATTGGTAATCACATGTAGCAATTGCTGAAGATATATTGCCACAGGATTTTTTCCTGCTTTTAATAACCCATATCTATACCGGCATTTTTTGGAATTCTTTTTAAAAAAATATTATTATTATTATTGCTGCTACTATTATTATTATCAGTTTTACTGTTGTTGTCTTTGTCGTTATTGTTATTGTTGTTGTCATTGTCTTTATTGTTGTTGTCATAGTCGTTATTGTTATTGTTGTGTATTATATGTGTTTGTTCAAACATCTCTTCGATGTTTCATGTTTTGTTAACTGTGATTTGGATACGAGAATTGGCTAATTGTGTATGTTCATTCATTTACTAGGCTTTTAACAACGCAACAGTTCCTCCTTCAGCTCAGGCTACCTTTCCATATATATTTGCTGTCAGCAAATTTATGCAGGTTTGTTTACAGAGCATTGTTACCCTCTTCTCTCATCAACTAACAGGGAAAATATTGTCCAGCTTATTTTCATATAATTTGCTTTCACGTAATTCTCACAGTTTCTTCTCTGCACTGATGACTCTGTTCTGTCATGTTTCAGCCTGGAAGTTTTGATCTGGTTGGTACAATTATTTACGAGATAGATCAGAACGCTTACCAAAACGTGTTCTACAATGGAACTATTGAAGTGACTGAACCTGGTGGTCTTCTCAGTGTTGAGTCAGTTTTCTTGTTTTGTCTTGCTGTAGCCCTCCTTGGTCTTCTTGGGTTCTGGATCCGTGGTCAGATACAAAATCTCTCGAAGGTGCTTATACTTACCTATGTTCCTTGTAAGACTGGATAAATGTGCTTCAAAACCTCGGTTATTTCGTAAAATGCCTGTAGGGCATGTATGAGGGGCCACAAGTAGTTAGTATCTGGGGTTATTTTTTTTTATATCTTACATCACTATCCTCTTGACATGTCTTGTGTCAGAGGACCCTGAAATCTGCTTCTAAGAGTGACTGAGAGCTGATGTGCCAGTGATGGTGAGAGGGTTTTTCAGACTTGAGGCATTACATATGAGAACAAAACGATTTGCTGAGCAGCTGGGACCTAATAAATATACCTTGCCATCTAGTGCAACTTAGTGCTCTTTTCTGAGTAACATATCTTTTTTGTTTTTTGTCAGCAATAATCACATTAGGGGTTTAAGCATATAAATTCCTGTGCTTTTTTCCCCCTTCTGAATCATTCTCTTTTTCATTTTGGATGTGTGTAGAAAACTAAGAGAGCACCAAAGGCAAAGGTTGAAGTTGGAACTGCAACAACTGATGCATCCACAGATGAATGGTTGCAGGTTTGTGGTTTATTATAATGTTAAAGAATATAATTCTGGAAATGTTTTGGCAATCGAGTCTTCAAATTATCAATGCTTACTTTTATTTTTTGGACTTGGTTTTCAAGAATTCGCTGACTAACTTGTCCTGTTCTGTTTTTCTAGGGAACTGCATATTCTCAGTCGCAGGCCAACAAGTTGAAGAAGAAGAAATGAATGGCTTGAAGCTACTAGCTTTAGCTGTATGAAGCAGTATGAGAAGTCTACAATCCTGAGTTCGGCTTGGATTTCACGTGATCTCCAAAACGTGAGGTTTTAAATTAGAATTGTTAGACGTGCTTCACTGTTGTAGCATGAAGTATAACTTATTATCCTCCAATTTTTACTGCCAATGAACTAACTGGGTATCAAGGATGCAAAGAAACAATTTTGTCAAATTCAGACTCTCATTTTTCCCTTGCAACAAATTTACTTTCCCGTTTGTTTCTTTGAGTTAGATAGTTCTGTCTATATCACACCCCTTATACCCTGCTAATGTGGGATGCTTGTGCACCAGACTGCCCTATTTATTTATTTTTAATGTGGTAAAAACCTAACAAAAACAGCGATAGGTTGGACCATGGGAATGTGAACACCTAACTTAGATGGAAGCAGATCACATCAATATACAGATCATCAAGCCCTGTTTCATTATTATGACATTTAGGAGATTGGTGAAGAAGCAAAAGATTTCATTAAAGATATTTTATTTTCTAGCTTTGCTGGATGTCTAGTATCCACATTTGTTTATTGCTCTAAAATAGTAGATGCAATTAATCATCACATGCCTGATGCCACAGAAAATAAATAAAGCTACCATTCATTATATGTTTAATTGTGGATCCTCACAAAACTTATTGCTAACCGTGAGGTATCATTTTCCTTCCTCTTTTTGGTTTGAGAATAGGGAAAAACGAATTTCCTTCTCTTCGACAAAAACCAGAAGAAAGGAAAAAACTAATTTTTTTCACTCATTTCGCACCCCACGATATCTTTACTGTCATCTGAAAATATTTCCCATTAACAGTTACGAATGAACATTTGCATACCATACTCCATTGTGAGATTTTACTAAGCTTGTTGTTATTGTGTTACATTGGAATTAATATTGACAACGTAAGTACTAACCTTCTAACGTGTGACTTATAAATTTTGTTCTTTGCCTAGTACAACGCTGCATGTGGGAAATCGCATTCAAGTGAAATCATGCTTAATCAGTTGGGGAATCATTTACTCGGTTCTAAGAAAGCTTAACCACTTTCCTTTCTTATTCTTTTTTTTCCACCCAAGTTAAAAGAGATAGCAGTGTATTCACAACGTAAATTTCAAAGTTAATATACAGTAGTAACTAAATTTACTACCTACTACTTAGTAATTTTCTTAATATTATATATATAAAGATATTGTTGAACAGCACTAAACAAAGCAAGCTGGAGAGCAATGACAATCAAGATATTGTTTAGTTATATTTTAAGATAGGGTAGAAATGAAAGTCATATAACGAGACAGTTTGAAAACAATTTTTATTAGTGTGTGACACATAAGTCAATAAAAGAACAAAAAGATGAGCTAAAACGTCAAATTTATGGAAGTAACATTTTTTTGCAGTGATTGTGTGTCAGAAATAGATAGGTGAAAGGCCGCCACGAGGTAGATAGAGGTGGGATTTAATTTGCGGGACAAACAAAGGACATCAATTTTCTTCCTCTTTCTCATTTTTATATAAAAAAAAATATTTTAAGCGGAATCAAACAAATTACTGATACTCCATATCTTTGCAGTTATGTGTCAATTCAGCTGTCCAATAGCTAATGAACTTTTCAAATGGCACGATTTTATTTTAAGTTGATTTCTCGTATGACCATTCAGTATTAATTACATGATTATTTATGAAATCAACCTCTTTTTTTTCGTAAAAGGGTGAGATGAAGTGGATTTTTAAAAGCCATAAAAGAGGTAATCAATCATATATAAGTAACAAAAATGAGAGTTTACATCCTAATTAACCCAGACTATATTACACTATTGTAATAGGATTTCATATCAATTGTTGACGATGGAACCAATGGAAAAGTCTTTTATATATGCACTTCCATTTTATTCCACACTTTATTGGGTTAAACCGATACAAAGACATTCTTAACATTATTTTCTTGAAAATAACTCGCATTATTAAAGTATTCTTACAACTTATATATGTAGCTTCTCAAACTGTTCAATTGTCAATGTGATACTTTATTCGCGCACCCAACAAAATCTTGACAACAACAGAGGAAGACAGCAAACTTTCCTTATATTAAAAAAGACTTACCCTATGGATAATGTAATTTTCTAGTGGATGAGATTCCTTACCACTTTGGATCAATATGACTTGTAAAACTACGACAAACGGTGTTGCCCAAGTCCATATAAACAGATCATCAATCCATCTAACTAACGTGGGACTCTAACACTACTGCAACTAACCAATGCAAAAGATGCAAGATTGAACGTTATTGAATTATAGGAAGAGGATGCAGCTATGGTAGAAGTAGTCTAGAATAATAATACATAAATAATCATGAATTACCCTTCTTCATGATTAGTACAATAATTTTTGTTCCATAATTTGCCGCAGTAGAAGTTAGTTGATAAATGTCAAAAAATCACGTGAAGATTGGGAGACCATGTTTTTGTCACTCACTATAAATGCCAACATTTACCTGCCCCTTGTATTCACAATTTAAAACAAAATAAAAGAAGTATATACTATAATAGAAAGAACGGCAATCATATCATTAACAGTTTAGTTAAAAAAGTAGTCAAAGTTTCACATATAATTGAGGATATTCAGTAAAATAAGTGACATAAATGAGAGCTAACAAAGTAGGTTAACAGATAGAAAAGGGATTTTTGTGTACAGTTGGAGACCTCATTGAATGATGATAATGGCGTTTTATCAAACAGCTACCTATGTCTGTGACCACCCATTCCTGAATAATTTTATTTTTTATTTTACAAAAATCACCTTCCAATTTTATAATCTTTCTGTCATTCATAAAAATTCAAGACCATGGGACCTAAACTCATGTGAGGACCTTAACTACGTGCCGGTGAGCCGGTCATAAAAACAGCCTTTTTCTTTACTTGTTGGTAAGTAAACAAGTACTATAAATATACCCTTAGGTCAGTTGAGAGAAACACATTCAAGAATACCATTCACAACTTACATTTATTTTGTATTAACAGAATGGGGCTTCAGTCCCTTTGTGGCAGAGTCCTTCTGGGACTGTCCCTGTCTTTACTACTCTCTAGTTTCTGCATTGCTGATGACAAGACAATTAAGGTGGTTGGTTTTGGAGAATGTGCTGATTGCAAGGAGAATAACATTAACACTATTCATGCTCTATCAGGTTCTTTCTTATTAATTCATTTGAATGCATGTCATGTTAACTGTCTTACAATTATAATGGTTATATGATGGAGTTGAGTTACTACTACACATGGTATCCGAGTCAGGCTTATCCCTATTATTGTGTTTTCCAATGTTGGATCACACATTTTCTTGTTCATGCTCCAGATGTCTCGTCTTGACTCTTGAGCATGCAAGATTATAAAAGGTTATCGTCTTTTATGTGGTTTTGAAAGATTTATCACTTGTTGAGCTAGCTTTTGAATTAAAGTTAGCTAGCTAGGTTCAAGGTTCATTTTCTGATAGTAGATTTCCATAACAATGTTATATTATTGGTTTCAGGACTTCATGTAAGCATTGACTGCAAGCTTGAAAATGGAGAAATCAAAACAAGGGGTGAAGGAGAGCTTGACCAAGATGGCAAGTTTGAAGTGTCACTTCCTAAGGAGATGATGAAAGATGGCAAGCTGAAAGAGGAATGCTATGCACAGTTACACAGTGCATCAGCTGCACCATGTCCAGCACACAATGGCATTGAATCATCCAAGATTGTTACTATCAAAACTGATGGAAAACATACATTGAAACCAGCTGGAAATCTCAAGTTCTCAACACCCTTGTGCACTTCTGCTTTCTTGTGGCCATACTTTAAGTACCCACCATTGCCACAGTTGCCACCTTTCCCAAAAGATCATCCTTGGATGAAGAAGTTCCCTAAGTTGCCACCATTCCCACCAATGCCACCATTGAATCACTGGGGCCACCCTTTCCCTCTTCCACCTATTCCTCCCCTTTTTAAAAAGCCATGTCCCCCACCACTAGTAAAGCCTCCAGTTCCCGTTTACAACCCAACACCAAAGCCCACACCAGAGCCACCAGTAGTAAAGCCACTTCCTCCTCCAGTTCCCGTTTACAACCCAACACCAAAGCCCACACCAGAGCCACCAGTAGTAAAGCCACTTCCTCCTCCAGTTCCCGTTTACAACCCAACACCAAAGCCCACACCAGAGCCACCAGTAGTAAAGCCACTTCCTCCTCCAGTTCCCGTTTACAACCCAACACCAAAGCCCACACCAGAGCCACCAGTAGTAAAGCCACTTCCTCCTCCCGTTCCTGTTTACAAACCAAAACCAAAGCCTCCTCCAGTTCCCGTCTACAAGCCCAAGCCTAAGCCACCTCCAGTTCCTACTTACAAGCCCAAACCAGAGCCTCCAGTTAAAAAACCATGTCCCCCTTCAGTTCCAAAACCAAAGCCTCCTCCAGTTAAAAAACCATGCCCCCCTAAAGTTCCAACTTACAAACCCAAGCCTAAACCAGAGCCACCAGTAGTAAAGCCACTTCCTCCACCAGTTCCAGTTTACAAGCCACCAGTAGTAAAACCCCTTCCACCACCTGTTCCAATTTACAAAAAGCCATGCCCACCATTTCCACACCTTCCACCACTGCCACCAATAGTGAAGCCACTTCCTCCTCCAGTTCCAGTTTACAAGCCACCAGTAGTAAAACCCCTTCCACCACCTGTTCCAATTTACAAAAAGCCATGCCCACCATTTCCACACCTTCCACCACTGCCACCAATAGTGAAGCCACTTCCTCCACCAGTTCCAGTTTACAAGCCACCAGTAGTAAAACCCCTTCCACCACCTGTTCCAATTTACAAAAAGCCATGCCCACCATTTCCACACCTTCCACCACTGCCACCAATAGTGAAGCCACTTCCTCCTCCAGTTCCAATTTACGTGCCACCAGTAGTAAAACCCCTGCCACCACCCGTTCCAATTTATGAGCCACCAGTAGTAAAACCCCTGCCACCACCTGTTCCAATTTACAAGCCACCATTTTACAAAAAGCCATGCCCACCACTTCCACCATTCCCTAAAATTCCTCCCTTCCACCATCCTCTCTTCCCACCACTTCCACCTAAATTTCCTCACCCATAGACCAAACATTAAATTCAAGAGTTCCTTTGGGTGTATGTAGGGCTGAATCTTTTTCTGTTTTAAAACCATGAAAATTATTTGCAATTCAATGAATAAAATCGACCGCCAAGAGATATGATGCTTGAGAATGTCAAAGTAAAAGATCAGAGAAATAGGGGAGTTAATTTCACAGTGTTGGTTTGCTTAGTTAAGTTTTCATGCAAATGTTTGTATATCTTCAAGTGAATCATGGTCCGGTAGTGAATAATCATGATATGTTGTATACGTTCAAGAACGGATCTTTTAAATTTTCTTGTTATGTTATTGTTTATTCTCATTCATAGAAACTTGTATTACTCATATCTTTTTAATGCAATGTTGGTTTTTCTTATTCATGTACTTGTACTGCTCTTTTCTTTAGACTCTTCATATTGCTCTTTGTTATTCGTGGAAACTTGTACTGCTCCTTTCTTTAAACTCCATTTTGATCCTATTCCTTTCTAATGTGTCAGTATTAGGATACTTATTAGAGTATAATAATCTATAATTTTCAGTGATCATTGGCGATTGATAGAGATGACACATTTCTATCAATCATTGTTGGCTTATATGCTCATTTACGGTTGCATTAAAGAGTCAAAATTAATTATGTAGCAGATTCCACGGCTACCGACAAATATCATTAAATGCTATCTACCTACTTGTGTAGATAAAACAATCAATCTTCCTATAATTAGCAATCCATGATTAAGCAATTAACAGACAATAATTCATTTCCTATGGGAACTATTCCTAATTAAGTCCATTAAATTTGTCCAGCTATAATCTTAGAGTACTTTTGTAAACCAGTGCCACACTTTAACTTAAAGTTTTAATCTTTGAGAATAATTTGAAATAATACAAATAAATTGTACTGCACTGAGGCCACCGCTGCATAGCTCGTGAGTGAATGAAACCTTTTTTTTTTTTTTTTGCTTTCGTTTAAGAAACAAGGTTTATATGATAAATTGGTAGTTATAAGAGGAAAAACATTACAAGCCGTTTATAATTATTGAAAGGAAAAGACTCAAATATGTCATCGGACTTTGAGAAAACACTAATTTATATTACTAGTTTGACTCATTTATGTCAAAATTTGTTTTTACACGTAGTCAATTATGATCCAGCCATATCGTTAATTAAATCACTTTTTAAATTAGAAAAAACTCAAATATGCGAAAATGTCCAGAAATTGACATAAATGAGTCAAACGGACACTATTTGAGCCTTATCCCATTATTGAAATACTCTTCATGCACAAATTAATACAACAACATATCCAGTTTAATCTCATGAACATCACACCTTACCCTTACCTCGGAACTCGGAGGTTGCTTCAGCCTTCAGATATGACCTTAGCTCAAGAAACAACAATTCAAAGCAGATCGAAAAAATAATAATAAGGAAGTGGAGAAGCATGGCAATTCATGCACAAAATTAACAAGAGAGAAAAAAAGCTTTACTAGAAAGAGAGAAATGTACAGATGAGAAAGAATGAGTGCAACGTTTGGATTCCTTGCGGGCCTGCAAACACAGCCCAATAAAACGGCCCATTACAAATGGGCTTGTAGATATCGTACAGAAAAAGCTTGGGCTTAGACATGGGCTTGTAGAAATTGCCGCCTTAAAAACGTCCCATTAGCATCAGTGACGCATATATCACGTGATTAGCCATATCTCTTATCTAACTATGGTAACTTTTCACCAACCATGGTGACTTTTAACGCAAGTCCGTCCTCTGCCAGACTCTCCAAGATCCTGACACCTGTCCGATCAAACGGTGGTGATTATTTTTCCATAAATTATCCGCTTTCACATCTTCCTATATAATATTCTGTCTCGCTTAAACCCTAAGCACAAATCGTACCATATTGTAAGTTTGAGAAACATCTAGAGAGAAATGGCAAATCCAAGGGTTTTCTTTGACCTTACCATCGGCGGTGCACCAGCTGGCCGCGTGGTGATGGAGCTCTTCGCCGATACCACTCCCAAAACCGCTGAGAACTTCCGAGCTCTCTGTACCGGTGAAAAAGGTGTTGGAAAGATGGGTAAGCCTTTGCACTACAAGGGCTCAACCTTCCACCGTGTGATCCCAGGGTTCATGTGTCAAGGAGGTGATTTCACCGCCGGAAACGGTACCGGAGGAGAGTCGATCTACGGCGCCAAATTCAAGGACGAGAACTTCGTGAAGAAGCACACCGGCACTGGAATTCTCTCCATGGCTAATGCTGGACCTGGAACCAACGGTTCTCAGTTCTTCATCTGTACCGCTAAGACTGAGTGGCTCGATGGAAAGCACGTCGTGTTTGGACAAGTTGTTGAAGGCTTGGATGTGATTAAGAAGGCCGAGGCTGTTGGATCTAGTTCTGGAAGGTGCTCCAAGCCTGTTGTGGTTGCTGACTGCGGTCAACTCTAGATCTGATGATGATGTTTTGAACGTTGATGATGATCTAGTTTTATCAGTCTTTTCTATATTTGAGTCGCCGTTTTAGGCTTTGTTTTTAATTTCAACCTATCTTTCCTGCTTGTGTCTTGTTGGGTCGGGTCGGGTCAAGTTCTAGGGTTAACCGTAATTGGTTGTTGTGTTGCTTCTACCGGTTTATGTTTAATCTTAAGACTACAATTAAATAAGATACTAATAGACTTGCTGCTAATCTCGATTTTATTGCTTAATCTCCTGTTTTTGGTTTAGTGTAGTCTACTTTTGTGCTGAACCGATAATGATGTGACCGACCTTTGACCGGTGTGGTTTGCGTGAATTGTGAGAGTCTCTTTCTCAGAGCTGTGGGTCCTGATTCGGATTTTTAAATTTGTGGTATATGGTTCGAATAGATTGGTGAGCGTGGTATTAAGTAAGGTGGCCCTTGTGTCGTTAATTAGCATAACAAGAAAAGTTTGTCTAGACTGTTCCCCAATAATAGTAGTTGCTTTTTTTCCATAATAACTTCGGACTTTGCTATAAATTTACCCTTCCAAAACTATACAAAACCAAGTTACGCGTTTTCCTTGGTTTATTTCAACTACTAAAAGACGTAATCCTAACTGATTTATTGACGAAAAGAACATTTGCATTAGTTTTTGCAGAGGAAAAATGTTTGCTAAGGGTCTTGATATTGTTCTAATTAACAGCCTAGTAACTATCTAATTACACAACTTCAGCCTAGTAAGTACCTACATTGACCTGTTTGTTTTGAAAATAAAGATTAAGTATTTAAAATTAAAATTTATATTATACAAATAAGGGCCTTTATAAATGATATTAAATTGAATATTTAAGATATATATTGTCTTTTGAAAATATATTAATTAATAAACATATGTTCTTAACTAATATTATAAAAAATAATTGATTTATATTTTCCAATTTAGTATATTTTAATTAAATTAGTCATAAAAACTAAAAGTATAAAATTTATGTGAACATCATGAAATGCATGTTTGACAAAAAGATTAATATTATAAATATAATGTCATAAAATTACAAAACATTTGACAAAAAGATAATCTATCAAGTGTAGCTTATAAAAAAAATAGCTTGCAATGTAAAATATCGAGTCAATACTCCTAAAACAAATGAAATTGAAAATATGACATAGGTTTTAAATTCAAAATAAAAAATTTAACATAATACTCTTGTCAAATTTCAACATAACATACATAAATATGATTTAAAGAAAATGAAAACGTAAGTCCATAATTTTATTCAACAATGAATTCTACTTTAATTTAAAAATTAGAATACTAGCAAAATTATACTAATAATTATTTTAGATAATACGAAAATTGCATAGTATCACATGAAGTAAAGATTGAGAATAACAAAGAAATGAAATGTAAATAATAAAAAAAAAAATTAGAAAATATATAAAAAAAAAAAGAACTTAATAAACATAAAAATACATACAAACAAAAAAAAATAAAAATGGAAGAAATTAAAAAGTAAACAATTTGTTATTATACCATGTAATTATCAGCAATTCACAGTCTCCCTTGTGAATTGGAGACTGAAGAGTATAATTACACCTAGCTAATTACATGACCAATCAAACGGGACAGACAATGTAATTATGCCAAATTTAATTACCATAGTGATTTTCCAAGCCGACCCTAAAAGAGTTTGTACCTCGGAATATTTTTTAGTTTTATCTTATGTAGCACTTTTTCATATTTTTCAAAAGATAAGTTTATATAATTGTATATCTAACACCATACATTTGTGTTAAAGTCTCTTTACTTTGTTGAGTTCCGTGCTAAACAACTTTTTTATTTTTATATTCCGTGCCAATCAAAAATATTTGAAGTAAGATTCCATTATGCGTTTATTATATAGGTAGTACTAATTTTAGGAGCTTGAGGTCACTTCAGAATGATTAACTTGTCCTCATAACAACACCACTTTAGTATAGATTAGTTTATATGAAAATAAATTTATTTTAGGTGACTAAATGAAATATGAAGACTTGTTTAGAGGATCTTCTAATGTATTTAGCCAATATATTATTTAATACATCAATATATCAGTACTTGCGAATTTTTCTCTCATTTGCCCTTCAACTTTATTAGTCCATAAAGGCAAAATCAAGCTATTTAGTAATGATAGGCTTTTTTTTAATGAATGACAAAATTATTCCATTTGCAAAATGTGGCAATGGTGCACATTTTGTTGTATTGATATTCTCGACCTTGGGATAAAAATAGTCAATGCTAGTATTTTTCTTTTGTAGATTGAACATTAATAGGCATTTAGGGGATTTAATTATTGGAAAGTGCTAAATGACCAAAAAATTTGGTCAAAATTTAACCAGAAAATTTAAAAAATTATTATTTTTTTATTTTTTTAAATAAATTGATGTCTTTTCCTTTTTTAGTTAAAAAGTATTAAAGTTAAAAGGATAAAAATATTTAAAGAAGTAAAATAACATATTTAAAATATCATTTTGATCAAAAAGATTTTTCCTGAGGTTTTAGAGGTCCTTTTTAAGACCATATACAAGTGGCCATGTGTCCTAGCATCATTTTCAGAATTTGAAATGATTGGATTCTATGTTTCAAAAAACTTTTAAAAGGAATTCATTCGTAAATGGGAAGTGGACAGCTTTTTAATTGTATTTTTTCTACCACATTCATTGATACTGAAGTGAATATATAATCGGATGCCTGTCATGATTTAAAATTTATGCTTTCCAACTTTATTACGAATTCATATCTCGTTTTAATAATTAAGTTTACAATTATATGTTTGTATATATTAAATTTTAAAATGTATAAAAATATAAGATCTAAATAAAAATTACTCCTTAGATTCGTTTCTCCACTATGGAGAATAGTGGTTGTTTACTTTGAAATTCTGGTGGAAACTAGTGGTCCTTGACCTCGCAGAACATTATTGGCTTCAATGGAAGTTTAGGTCATATTCTTTATTTCTTGGGGATATACCTTTTTATTTTCATCTATTAATAAATGAAAATTAGCTTTGTCTTTTATTATATTATAATCCTATATATTTGGCTATTTGTATTCTCGATATCACTAAAATTTATTATTCTTAATTGGGAAAAGGGTCTGAAAAATACTCCAACTTTGGCCGAAATTACTGTTACGATACCAAACTTTATGGAGGACCTTTTACCCCTTGCACTATTTAATAGTGTATTTTAAAGGTATATATGTGCTCACGTGAACACATTACTATTTAAAAATGAGGCAATATTTATGATGTCCACGTAGACACATATATACCTTTAAAATACACTATTAAATAGTACAGGGGATAAAAGGTCTTTTCCAAAATTTGGTATCGTAACAACAATTTCGATCAAAGTTCAAGTATTTTTTAGACTCTTTTCCCTTCTTAATTTGACGTATCACTTGAAATCAAGCTCAATTTTTCAATTTCACTTAAGTAATCTAATTTACTTGCTTTTGTCTTTTGCATGGCTCGATCCACTAAACAAATTAGACCCATAGGATGAACTATTAATGTTTATGTATTAAAATTTTCATTTGATTTTGAAGATTTAGCTAAGAAGTAGATTGAATGGAGTTGTTGGGTTCGAAGTGATAATTTCTGTTGAAAAAATATTGTTAGTTGTACTGTGAATTTTGATCCTAAAGCTACGTACATTCAATTTGCACTGTGAATGAAGCTCGAAATTTGAGGTTAAGTTTCTACAAACGAACTTTATTTTAAGTGAACATTTTACAAAAGCTCATGAAGAACGCCTAAGGGAGTTCATATTTGAAATTTGGGATTTCTTGAAGAATGATTTTTGAGTGAACTTCAACTGCAAAGTAATGGGGGAAGAAGAACAAAATAAAATTTCAGAATTAGCCACCCAATATCACTAAGAATTAATTTGTACATTATTTTGAAATCTCACGAATGAACATCCTATTCCTTAATCTCTTGAATTATAATGAGCAATACAAGAAACTTGATGTATGAATCAATAGCTTGAAAATATGTATCTTCGTGTTTATGTTTTTTCAATACTTTATATATAGTTCTAGTTGTTTTAAAAGGCGGGGCGTGAAGCGAAATGTTTTATACAGTACATGACGAGGCGTAATCCCCGAGACACGGGGAGTAAGTCCCACGGATCTACGGGGCGTAGTCTCATATATATATTCAATTTTATAGTTTTATTACTAATAAAATAAGCAAAAGTAAACCTTTCAATGATTTATGATTTTTATTTGAGATAAGTATTAATAATCAATAACGAAGAAAAAAAGTATTATAATTACTATTTGAGAAATATCATTACATCTATAATAAAAATATGATTTAAAGCAAAAAAAGTTCAAAAAAATAAATTAAAAACACTCGGGCGTACGTTTTTACGCCCAAGACTTACGTTTTTATGCTCGGGGCTTACGCCTCAGATTTTAGGACTTACGCCTTATGAATCTACGTCGTTAATTTATGCCCCGAAGCATTTTTGGTACGCCTCACCCCGAGACTCGCCCTGGGACTCACCCCAAAAACGATTTTGAAAACACTGGTTCTAGTTTTATATTATCTACTTTTTGGTGAAAAATATGTAAGTATTTTCTTATAAATTCTTTTAAAGAATTGCAAAAATGATTTCTTAATTGCAACAGTCTTTAGACACGTTCATTGCTTCTTATATTTTACCTTGACAATGTTTCAAGTTGGTTCTAAACTAATTTATGGTTGGTTTAATGTATTCTTGGCTTTGTAGGATCTCTATTTTACTTATTTTGATTACATTCCATGTAAACTAAGCATAATCATTAAATATATATAGATGTCTAAAATAATCGCAAGCGGCTCCTGTCCAGTAGAGCTTCTGTCTATTTCCTCCCGCGGAGCACTAGATTCTTTACACGTATTTCATAAATATTTTAATGAATTGATGTAATCATCCTTTAACCAGGGTTAATTATTTTTAC